TCCTGCTGCTTATTGTTTCTCCCTTTCTGTCTGTTCCTGTCACATGGAAATAAGGGGAGGCATTAGCATGTACCAGATCCCCAACAACTGATTTAAAGGTCAGAATGAGAGGATAGTTCTAATGTAGTATAGTTAGTAAAACAGAAAAAGGCAGAAAACAATGAAATCATCTTCATATTATGAAGTTTCAAGTCTTTGCTACATTTCTGGAGAGGCTGCCAATTTTACTAGAAGATAAAGTCTGCTGGTCCGCAAGGATCCTCTATTGGAAAAGACATTCAAAAGCAAAATACAGATGCAATGTTGAGCAGCAGAGAAAAAAGTATTATCCTAATTAATCACTAATTTTTGAAAGTCTCTCACTTGTACTACATCAACAACTAGCCCACTGTACTCTTTATTACAGGATTTCTACCAATATAGGAAAGGAAATTAAAAGTTCAAAAAATATGTTTTTTCTATGATTTCTAGTCTCATTAACAATTTAAAAAACTTGTTGGAATGTGATCATGAGAAAAGGGAGTATTTAACCATCTGCACCAGTGTCCAAGGCTGGAGAAGTAATCCAGGAATACAGTCCAAGAACTATAAAGAACACTAAAAATAAGTATTCTTTTACCCAAAGTGAAATATATTGTACAATTTCTTTCCTCTAGGAAAAACAAACAAAAAAACCCCCAAAAAACAGGGATCTAATAGAAACCAGTTCAACAAATGAACCTTCATACCAACCAGGGCAATTATATAAACAATGCTAACCGAGGGTTATTTAATAAAGTAACTTCTTCATAAATAGTAATTATGTAAAATATAAAATTTGAGATATACATAGACATGTGAGATTCTGCCACAGAAATGTTTTGTGACAAGATAAAAAAAAAAAGGAAAGAAAAATTATGAGAAGACAATCTCAGCTAGTGTAAAATGATTCATGATGTACAGCCAAAATAAATACAAGTTATATCTGCAGTGCAACAGGACTATAATATTTCAAGAGGTCAGCAAACAACCAGATGCAAGCCAGCTTCACAAATCTTAGAAAATACAATTAACCTATGCCTGATTTTCAATAGTTTCCCAAGCTGATTTCAAGACATTTTAAGTTAGCTAAAAGCATCTACTATAAGAAAAAAATATATCTACACAATATGACACAAGCTGTCATTTTTACGTCAAACAAAGCAAAAATTAGATAAATTTTCAGGAGGGTGAAAACCTATTTTATAACAACAAGAACAAAGTACATAGTGACATAAAAGATGATGACATGAAAGAAAATGCAACCAGTGTTTTTTCTGGACACTAAGATAGGGCTTTCCAGACTACTCAGCAATGGCTTAGCTTTGTTCCTTTGAGCCAATAGTAAGTGAGAGGAGTTATTAAACTTTTTTTAGACACATTTTTCAATGTTTTAATATGTACAAATGTCTTAATTTCACCCTGGAGAAAATTAACAGAGAAAACTTACAAAATACATTTTATACCTGAACGCTGTAGATGGAGCTGGGCATAAACAGGATTATGAAAGTTACCACTGTGTTACAACACTGTGTCAGAAGTTACTTCTTGAAAAGAACAAAAGCCATTTGGTTCTCAGGAGGGGGCCATCTTTGAAGACAGGATACAGTCAGAGTTTCAATGTTTTTTTTTTTTTAAACTCTGCTATAGTATATTAATACTTTATTGGGATTCCTAGTTCTAAAAACGCAGGAGAGAGTGATAAAAGAATATTAACAGGCCACCAATCATCTCCATGCTGCTAAACCAGATCGAAATCAGAAATACATATTAGTCAGCTTACAAGCTTTAGACCGGACAAGTGAAATTCACCCTACTCAGGCGTTAAGGCAAAGTTTAATTAAAAATAGAACTGTAGAAGCAATTAAGAGTTTAGAAACGTATCTCAGAATCTGTCACAAGTGACCAATAATGGACTCCAATGCCCTGCAGGACCAGTGACACTACTCAGTTCTAGCCTAACCCTTGGAAACAGAATGTAGGACTTTTTTTAGCTATGGGTGATGCTACTAGTAGAACAACTTACTAGAAGAATTTAAAAGGATGCTAACATTGAGATCCATCTTTGAGTAAGGGTGGGGCATCTTCTTCATATTTAGCCCACAAAAGAAGACAAAAAGGTATTCTACAATAGCTGGAGAATGGGAAGACAGAATAAATGACTTTCCTTTTAGGGCTTATTTTACTCCACTTTTGATAGCTTTCTAGTGTTTAGCTTGTATGGTAAAAGTAATCTCACTCAAATCTTTTCTGGTGGCTCTGCTGCAGCGGCTGTACCATCCAACAGAGGAAGATCAGCTTCTAAAAACCCCCAACAACTCTTCAAGGAACTTTTGACTGTGACCTTAGATTAAAAAGTAAGCGGGGAGGAGGGAAGAGACAAGGATCTCAACCAATTTCTAACAGACCTTCAATGATTTTAAGCACTCATTCCTGTAGCAACCTGTGATACCAATCAATCTTCCAGTTCAGAGAAAAAAGATGCCTAACATTTTACTCCTCATGCAGGGTATCTACTGTGACCTAATGCTCAGTGCAGTGCCACTCAAAACGATGCAGCCTCTGGTAGGAATTCTGTGTACATTGGAAGCATAATATTTCAAAGTAACAGTTAGGAACCTAGAAATAATATCAGGAATCACACAATTTGTCCTCTCAACTAAGATATAAGGCTGCCTGAGAGACGTACCCACATATTTAAAACATGCTCTGTGAGGGAAAGCATTTATTTTTGGATGGCTTTAACCTAGTCTTCAGATCATTGCAAATGACTAACAAAGCCAAGCAACATGCACCCTCCACATTTAGTATACTGGGTCTTCATATTTCACAGCGTACCACCTTCCCTGGTTGAGGAACAAGCCCCAGCTCCAACGACGGTCCTAGGGAGCCCTCTAGTGCTCCATATGGAAAGGCCACCATTCATACTGGATTATGCTGCACCCAGGTAGTTACTTATATCGCTGAAGTGGAGGAAACGTGAAGTACATTTTCCTCAGCAGAAAACAAGCCCCCTAGCTATTAACTATTTTACACTGTATTAAAAGATATAGTAACATTATACAAGGCGTTTAAGCACCAGTAATTTTATAGTGTAAAAAATCTGAAAGAGGTTTAGGCATCTTACACATTTAAGGGACTGGGTATCAAAGACTCCCCCTCCAGTTGCCTAAAGGATTCAACTGACACAAGTACAAGTCAGGTTTGTATATGATAATTCTCTCAGTAAAGAAAATTATAAATGATCATCTTCAGAGACAATTTACAGAGTAATTTAGATGCACAGATACGGTTCTTTTAAGGGAGTTGAAAAGACGTAACTGTTAACTTTATTATTTACACCCCAGCGTTAGATGGTTTTGTCACTGCTTATGAAACACTCAGAAGAACTCTTAAAAAAACTGTGTATGTGATGGTGGCCAAACAACATACTTGAGTTGGCCCTGGCCTGGGTTAGAAGTGCAGTGATTCAGTCCTGGTCCTTGCCTCTTCTGGGTATGCCATGAAGCATCATCTCAAACCAAAACCTGAGCACAGGCATACAGCTTTCTTAAAGACAGGAAGAAAGCTTGTAACAAATAATTTCCCCCTTCCACTCTCACTATCTGAGGGCAACTCTTCCCACGCTGAGTGGAGCCATCAACTTACATTCTGTTTCAGCACATTTGGGTAGTTAGCCTAACAAACAGTAGGGAAAAATAGTTGAATTCATCCTCCTTCACTGCTAGCTCACAAACCGGGGGTTGCTTTATAACATTCCCATTCTGCTTGCTACTCTAATATTGAGAGGGCAAGGAAATGACAAAAAGAACATAAGAACTTTATATGCCTTTCCTGAGGTAAAGGAAAACAAATGTATTTAATCTCTTCTCAAATAGAAGCTATATCATACTTCTATTCATCATTCGTGGTTCAAATACATACATCACGGAAGATACATATTTTGAAGGGCTTTGTGGTATGTTTTCACTTTAGAAAGTCTATTTCCTAAGAGAGGGTAATAGAAAGATACTGAAAAACATGAAAGCAGAAGCAATCATTTTAGAGGTAGTAAGATAACTAGACATATCAGCTAAAGAGAAGTATTTTCAAAAGACCGTTTGGAAAGAGAATTGGAAGTGTACTGGAGTATTCAACAAAACCCTTTTTCCTACTCATATATGCTCTTCGGCAGCTATGGCTGGCTGAAATGCATGCAAGTGCTCATGATAGCTGTAAAAGTAGCAAAGGAACAGTTCAAATTGGCCTCACTTTTTTTTACTCCTCTCTGATATGTTAGGCCATCTGCAAGTAGAGATGTAAAATTTCTGGAAATGTGTGAAAGCAAGAAAGAAGAAAGTCCAAGTTTCTCTTCCCATCCTGTTTTCGGGTTTGAGTGGGTCTTTTTGTTTCTTAAGTTTTTCTTCCAAAAAGAAAGATGAACGTTTTAGGAGAAACTGAAATATTAATAGTAATTATTTACTTCTTTAAGAATAAGAAACATACTATATGTATTTTATATAAAACATAGGAAGCAGTCCTACTTCTAGTCATGAAATAATACACATCGTTAATTTGTGAAGACAAATGTAGCTACTATTAAAATTCAGTTGTATGGCATACTAATACACATAAATAATTTTTGCCTGTAGCCACAATTTAAAAGATGGAAAGGAGTAGAGGAAGGTGTTTAAAAACAGAAAACCTCAGTATTACTGATTTACTGCCTTTGAGCCCTACAGATTTAACTTATGTAACTATATAGACAACATTACAATTCAAATACATAAGAAACTAGTATTTCTAGGGAAAAGACTTAGGAAACAAATGCAACTTCACTGGCATACTCATTGCAATGTTGATAACAGCAAAATCTTAAAGATCATAATGAAGTTTGACTTACTAGAACTTCGGTTTCTAAGAAACTTCATTTGAGATACGTGCTAGTTAACACTTAAAGCCTCAAGTCCAGCAGTAACGTTTTTAAATCAGCCACACTCCTGGCTAGAACAAATTTTAGCTATAACCATAAAGCTCATCTTAGTCCTAACTCAACCTGGGCAACTTCGGCCAGCTCGACACCTACCAAGATAGCTAGCACATCTCCTAATAATCCTAGCTAGCTCTCTGCTCCCTTTAATCCAGCTAGGATACCAGCTTCACTGGCTCTTCATGGGCTAGCATAAATCCCAATTCTAAACTGAAATCCAGTCAAAGATATCAACTATGGGGACCTGAAATCTATAAAAAGCATAAGACACCAGTATTTCTACTCTAATAATACTTTTGGATATAGCAATAAATCTAGATTAACAGTCTCTAATCAGCTAAACTCTAATTAGGATCCCAGGCCTACTACTAGCTAGAGGCCTCAGATTTCACGAGAATAGATGCTTGTCCTCCCTTTTCCTCATCATGAAAAAAAAAAGGGAGGTTAAAAAAATCTATACTAATTTGCTTCTCACTGTAAATTTATAAGCTAAAGGAAGCATTTGAGTAGTAAGTTATTTATTAGACTATAATATAGAATATGCATTGAATTATATTAAGAAATAAACAGTAGAATATAAGTTCTAACAAAAAAGTAAACATTGAAAACGCATAAGTGTTGCACACTGAGGTATTTAAGTTGACATCATGCCAACACCTTTTAAATATAAAAATATAAAATCACTAGTTGACAATAAGGAAAAAAAATGGCAAGTCGCAGCAAGATAGTTTGAGTTTTACTTACACACCTTTTCTGATCGATGTTGTAACTTACATAGAACAGCTCAAATTTTTAGAGAAGAAGACTTGAAAAATGAGTACAGGTATAAAGAATATATGTAGTGATGTTAACATAACTATTAAAACAATGATGGATCAACAGGAAATTTGGCCTGCGGTAGCCTGTACTATAACTGTCTACAATTACGTATTTTTAAATAAAATATATTTTAATAGATTCTTTTGAAGGAGTCAATTATAGCAACAATGTCATTTTAAATATTGTTCTGAACGTTCATTTTTGTTCCTCCTGAGAGAAAATGTTTTCACACTTTTTGCTTCCTCATAGGGAATCAGAGGGGGAGATGGAAGAAAAAGATTGATTTTCAAGTTCCCCATTCCCATTTTCCAAGCTAACATGCCCTTCTGTGACAATGCAGCGTTTCACTATATCAGCTACAATGTAGCATGCTTTTAATAATTACCAGCATATTCATTTTTAGCAGACACTGTGACAATGAACCTTCTTCAGTACCCTATTTCTTTAAGAGAATAGGACTTGGACAATCTAGGTCTTGGAAATCAGAAACAGTTTCAAAGGACTACAGAAACATCCAGATTACTAACATAAGAGAAGAAAGGCAGACTAAAATATGAGTAATTCACAAGAAAATTAGTTTGGAGCTGTTATGTGTAATTTCTCTGCTCATAGGCCCTCAGTTATCAGTGGGAAAATGAATAAACAATAAAAAAACTGTATTCAAGAAGCCAAACAAAATCAGGCAGGATCAGATATTGCCACCTAAAGTCAGTAGTCAAGGCAGGCCTCTCCTTTGCTGCGGGGCTATTATAACGGCTATTTGTTTTTTCATTTTTCATGGCAGAACTGCTGTTCTGAAGAAAGCTATAGCTAAGTCATCGGATTTGTTTGAAATATATTCTCCAAATATATAAGACAAAACAAAATAAAGAAAACAAAAAAGGGGAGAGCCATCATTTGGAGAAGGTGGAAGTGGGTATTTCCTTTACTGTTAAGCACTAGGAAATGCTGGTAAAGCTGGTAAATGGTAAAGCTGGTAAAATGATGCATGGGCACAGGGAACAGGAGGGAGACACAGAAGTGTCCTGCTGCAAGGAAAGCAGGAGATATATAAGGGCTGGGGGAACTGGTATTGGAAGTAGGAGTAGGGGAAACGAGGACAAAGGAGGTATTGCAGTAGAAGCTGGAAAGAACACGAGAGGAATTGGAAGGAACTCCCAATAGTCTTCATGTAACTCTCTTAAAAATCACAGCAATCACCAAGCACAAATCTATCTAGAACGAGGCCGCTCTTGTTTGAATACTAACGGACATTCTTGTTATTACTTAAATATTTTGATTTCCAGGCATACATACAGTTGCAGCTCAAGATGCTCTTGAGTGGTATCTAAAACTACACCTTACCCCAAAAAATTCTCAAAGCACAACCCCCCTGTAAAACGGCTGATCAAAACAGCCAGTTCAACACCTTCCCCCTAGTGCAAAAGAAAAACAATTCAACAGGGCTCTGGGAAGCCCTGTTTTGATTTAGGGGTGGGCATTCAGGAAACTAGGATGAAGACAGTTCCCTTCCCTCTGCAGAAAGCAGAGAAAATTCAGCAACTGCAGTTTCAAATTCACATGTAGATCTGCTATGGTACTCTGAGACCGTTTAGAATATTAGGAGATCATGCCAAGACTGTGGCTAGTGATTTTTACCATCTTTGGGGGGGAAGCATGGCATAATATTTCAACCTAAGATTTATCATTTGATGGTATAAAAGTTAAAACAAAGTCAATTACACTAAAAGGTTTTCTAAACCTCCTTCCTCCTCCCCTCAGAAAAAGCTCCCTAGGGAAATAAATACTAAGAAACATACTTACCAAGGCAAGTGTAAAGACCCTGACTTATCCATGCTAGTATAGCAAGAGTGATAAGATCTCCAAAACTTGCTGCTATAGGAGTGGCAACGTTGTCAGGATTAATACCGGTCTTCTTCGATCCAACGATAACTCCAACCATTATTATTCCTAAATTCAACACAGAAGAAAGTTTGCAAAG